TCCCCAGCGGGCTCAGCCAGGGACCTGCAGCACTCCCTGATCCCCCAAAAACAACTGGAATGGGATGTTTGAACCAGGGAAACGGGGCTGTGGCTCCTTGGCTGAGGAAAGCTGGGCTGGGAATGCCAGGGAAGCTGCACGTTGGGAATGGGGTGGTTTCATTTCCCCTTTATAAAACGGTTTCTGTTGTGGAAAAAGAGGTGGGAAGAGCCAGACTTGGAAAAGTTTGGGGTTAAACCCAACCCGTGGGGTCATCCCATGGGATGGACTTGGGGGTTTGACTCCCGGTGTTTCTATTTTTCATGGAAAACTGCCTGTGAGAAGAGAAATGGGAGATTTGCAGCCAGACCCCTGGGATTAGATTGAGTTTCCCCCCGGATTTTGAGCCATTGAGGGATGAGCTGGGATTTGGGAATGTGGGAGACGGTTTTCCATGGGGTGATCAGCCAAGGATAACGTTAACGGGGAAAAAGGATAACGGGGCTCTGAAAATGGGGAAGTGGGTGGAAAGGGAGAGGATTTGCTGTCCAGGATCTGCTCTCCCTCCCCATGGCTCTGCTGGTGGGATGGTGGGATGGAGCCCAGCCCTGGGATCACAGGGAATGCTGCTGCTGGTGGGATGAGTTGGGGTTGGTTTAGATGAGCCCCCTCTGTGCCATCCTTCACCCCACAAGTGAGCTCCTGGTCCGAGCTCTGGGGAAGAGTTTTCCAGCCCCGGGAATGGAGCAGGATCCGGCCTCGGGGACCAGCTGAGATCCTGAGCTCAGGACATGGAATTCCCACATAATTCAGGTTATTCCATGGTTAGTGGGGACTCTCTCCCCCAGTTTGGGACTCTCTTCCTCAGTTTGGGATTCCCCCCATTTTGGGAGGTGCTGACCCAGCTGAGATCCTGAACTCAGCACACGGAATTCCCACCTAATTCAGGTTATTCCAGGTTTTTAATGAGGGCTTTATTGCCCAGTTTGGGACTTTATCATCCAGACTGGGATTTTTCCAACAATTTGGGGTTCACCCCATTCTGGGGGTTGCTGAGTCCCCTTGGAGGGCGGGAGGAGCCTCCTGCTGCTCTTTGCCTCTTCCCTCATTAATCCTGATTAGGGAGCCCTCATGACCAGCCTGATTTCCTCTCAGAAGCCTATCAGTCATGGAGCTGGAATCTGGGAAAGGCTAATGAGGAATCACATCCTCCCCATGTTATTACCTGGCTAATTAGTGCCTGGGCTGATTCGGGAAAGGTCAGGAGAAAGGAACTGAGAAATTTTACCTTTTGGAGGCTGTTTTGGCCCAAATGAGCTTCGCTGAGGGCAGATGGAGGAGACTCACATGCCCCACGCTGCCCTGGATCTGAGCTGCTCCCAAAGGATGGCACAGTTTGGACCTAGTTTTCTAGGCTGGATGGAGACCTTGTGAGGATGGGAAGGACAGGAGGGCCACGGCTCTGTCCTAAAATAAGGATTTATTTTTTTAGGGATGCCTGGAGGGAACGATCCAGCAGGAGGGGGCCGGGGGAAAGCCCTTATTTGTTAAAAACCCACGGAATAATCATCTCTGTGGTGTGTTTGACCGGGGCAGGAGCATCGTTCCCTGCTGGCTCGGCTCATTCCCTCCCTTTCCAGGGGCCGGGAGCCCCGGGGCTGTCAGCGAGGAGCGTTACCAGCCGCTGGATTCACAGGGAATTAAAACGCAGGCGAAGCCCAAGCGAGCCCGACACCCCGCGCCAACAGCCCGGCGTTTATCCACCAATTTCCATCACTTACTGTCTCCTCCAATGTCCTGGGATGCCGCTGACGGCCCGCGAGCCTCCCCCCGCCTTTCCCCGCGCTCCCAGCCGGGGTCTGGAGGCTGCCAGAGCCGCTTTGCCGCGGCACAACGAGCCCTGCTCCCAATTATTCCCGGTTTTCCGTTCGCGCCTCTCCCGCCGGGTCTCGGCTTTGTGCTGCGAGGGAAGGCTGTGCAGCCAAAAAGCTGCGCTGGAGCTGCAAAGGGCTCAAATTCGGGTTGGAGGGTTTTTTTTTTTTGTCCTTATTTATTTTGATTTTTTCAAGGAGACAGCGGGGACATTGAATCTCCTCCGCGGGGTAACAATCCCCCCTTCCCAAGCTGAAATCCTCTCCAGGCATTTCACCCCGGGAAAGGGTGGGAAAAACAGCTCCGGAGGGCAATCTCCCAGTGCAGCTGGCCGGGGATGCTGAGTGATGGAGCTGATGGGGCTCTGGGGCTCGGCGAGGAGAGGCAGAAAATTCCCCCTCGCGGAGGCATCCGGGAGCAGCGGCTGTTCCCGGAGCTGACAGCACCATTTGGGCCCGTTAAGCTGCCACGGCGGCTTTAAAACAACAGCGGCGTGTTTAGCCTGGCTGAACTCGGGTTTACCTCCAGGTCACCTACTTAGGAGGAGGCTTTTTTTTTAGGATTTCCTGGGATACGGCCCTTCCAGGACTGGCTCTTGCTCCTCCTGTCGGTTCCCCAGGAGGGGAAAGCAAAGGTGTTTTTTCTCGGGGGGGTCTCTCAAATCCACGAGCAAATAAAGGGAGATTTGATTTCCAGACGTCTCCATGCAACAACAACCCGGGGTTTTCCCAGTGGATTCAAGGCAGAGGGAGAAGGGAGAGAAAACCCAGCTCACCCCAAGGAATTCCAGCAGCTCCTGGATTGGACTGGATGCGTCTTTGCACTGATTGAAGCAGAGCCTGGTTGCTTTCAGGATTATTTAAGAAACAAACCTTAATCCCCCCGTTTTTATCAGGCTGCTGTTGCTGGTTGGGCCAAAATCTCAGCACAGGGGCTGCTCACCATCCCCTCCCCAGGGAAAACTCTTCTCCTGATACTTTTTTTCCCAAAGATAAGCCCCAAAAGAGGATGCTGGGTTGGTTTTTTTTGGGGGGGTTGTGCCTGAGGGTAGCTTTGTGCAGCTGGAAATCAAGGGTTAAGCTGGGCTTTGGGGCTGTAAGGAAAGGCTTTGGGGAGGCAGGGACACCACACGGCACTGGGGGAAAATGGAGAGCAAGGGTAAAAAAGTGGATTTTGGTCAAGAAAGAGACACAGTTCTTCAGCACTTCTGCTCTTGGCAAGCCCCAGGCCATCCCACTCCCTCCTGGGCTCTTCCTAAACAATCCTGGCACCTTCCCTGTGCCCAGGAATTGTTTAGTTCTTGGGAGCCGGAGGAGAACGAGGCTGTTTGCCAGGCAGGGCCGGGGAGGGCTTTGCATCCCTGCCAGGGTGAGATTTTGGGGGACACAGGACGGCCTCAGGGCTGGATCCTTCTGCTAGGGGCTCAGGGAGGAGGGGTGGGAGGAGGGAATTGCTGCCCCAGGGCTCCCTGTGGATCCCTGTGGATCCCTGCTCCTGTCTCCTGCCCCCCAGATCCCTGCCTGCATCCTGGCCCCTGCCTACACCTCCAGCCCTGTCTGCATCCCACATCCCTGACTGTATCCCTCCCTATCCCAGATCCCACATCCCTGCCTTCATCCCAACCCCTCCTGCATCCCATATTCCTGACTGTATCCCTCCTTCTCCTAAACCTCATATTCCTGCCTGAATCCCAGCCCCCTGCCTGCACCCCTCATCCCTGCCTGCACCCCTCATCCCTGCCTGCACCTACATCCTGCCTTCATCCCAATCCCTCCTGCATCTCATATTCCTGACTGTATCCCTCCCTCTCCTAAACTCCACATTCCTGCCTGAATCCCGGCCCCCTGCCTGGACCCTGCATCCCTACTTACATCCATCTGCCCTGCCTGCACCCCTCATCCCTGCCTGCATCCCACATCCCTGCCTGCATCCCTCATCCTTCCCATGCTCCCACCCACCCCCTTCCCCTGCCAGGCTGGCACATCCCCTCCTGCCCCTCCCTCCCTGTTCACCCCCTCCCTCAAACTCCCTTCCCCTCCCACCCCTCCCAAACCACCTCTCACCCCTTCCCTCACCCCCTCCCTCAACCTCCCACCTCCCCCTGCCCCCTACACCACCCCCACAGGGTCCCCCCTCCTCCCACGTCCCCTCACCCTCCAACATACCCCAACATCCCCCAATACACCCCAACATCCCCCCCAATACACCCCAACATCCCCCAATACACCCCAACATCCCCCCCAAAACACCCCAGCATCCCCCAGTAAACCCCAACAACCCCCACGACACACCCAACACCCCCCCCAATAACAACACCAACATCCCAACAACACACACCCACAGCCCCACCCAAACACACCCCAACATCCCCCAACACACCCCACTCCCCCCCCCCAACACCCCAACACCCCCCAATACACCCCAACATCCCCCAACACACCCCAACATCCCCCCCAATACACCCCAACATCCCCAATACAGCCCCTCACCCCCAATACCCCTCAGAGCCCAGAGCTGCCCTTTGGCCCCCGGGGTGCAGGTGGGCCCCCCATTATTTCAGCAGCTGTGAGGGGGGGTCCCTGTCCCCGCGGGGGAGGGGGGTGACCCCCCCGTCCATCCATCAGCCCGTCCTGCACCCCCTGCCCGGGCCGTGCCCCTCTTTGGCCACCTCACCCCCCATACACCACCTTGACCCCCCCGACACCACCCTGTTCCCCTTCCCTGGGCCGGGCACACCCCGCATCCCCCTCATCCAGCCCCCTACATCCTCCTCATCCATCCCCCCACATCCATCCCCCTCATCCAGCCCCCTACATCCTCCTCATCCATCCCCCCACATCCATCCCCCTCATCCAGCCCCCTCATCCAGCCCCCTACATCTTCCTCATCCATCCCCCCTCATCCAGCCCCCTCATCCAGCCCCCTACAGTCTCCTCATCCATCCCCCCTCATCCCCTCTCATCCATCCCCCTCATCCCTCCCCCCAAATCCATCCCCCCACATCCCCCTCATCCATTCCCTACATCCCCTCACATCCCCCGTCTGCAATCCCCCTCCCCTCATCCCCGCTCCCTGTCCCTCCCCCCGCAGCCCCTCCCGGGGGCGGGCCCGGGGCGGGCTCAGCGCGGGGGGGTTCGGGGGCGGCCCCGGCCCCGCTCGGCTCCCGCTGCTCTCAATCGGCTTTAGGGCGGCAGCGGCGGCGGCGCCGGCCCGGGGGGGACGCGCGGAGCCGGCCCGAGCCCCCCGCCCGCCGCGATGCCCCCCTGCCCCCCGGGCACGGGGCTGGGGCACAGCTGAGCCCCCCATGGGCTGCCCCCCCCGCGGGCACCATGCGGACCGCGAGCCCCCTGCCCCTCTCGCTGCTGCTCTGGCACCTCCTGGACCTGGCGCTGGGTGAGTGTCACCTCCCCCCCGCGGGGATAACGGGGTGCCCACCCGCGTCCCGGGAGTGGAACGGGGGGGCCGGGAGCTGCACCCCCCGCCCCGGGGCTCGGGGGGAGGGGGACGGGGGTGGGGGAAAGAAACCCCCTTGGACCCCGGCACCCCTTGAGAGGAGCCTGGTTCGGGAGGGGGTGATGGGGCGCTAATGGGGCGCGCGGTCTGGAGCCGTTATTGGGGCATCCGCTGACAGGGCGCTGGTGGGGAGCCGTTAATGGGGCCCCATTGTCGGGGTACTGGGTTTAAACCCGTTAATAGGGCACCGATGTGGGACCCGTTAATGGGACACCCCCGACCCGGGGATTGGGTTTAACCCCACTGATGAGGCACCGGGGGGGGGGGGTTCATTAATGGGGGACCCCCTGAGCGGGTCCAGGTTTTAAACCACGAACAGGGCACTGCTATGGGAGCGTTAACGGGGGGGCCATTGAGGGGAGCCGTTCATAGGGCACCTGCCTTGGACCCGGTAATGGGGTGTGGGGGGACGGGGGGACACGATGGGGGGATGCTCATCCCCCACCCCCATCCAGCAGCAAGGGGGGCACCCACGGCCCCCTTCCCTGCACCCACGGCCCCCTTCCCTGCTGCTCCACCCGGGGGCTCCGGCTGCCGATCCCAGCCCCGTGCTCCCCATCCGGGGGGGGTCTGTGCTCTGGGGACCCCCAGGAGCTGCAGCTTTTTGGAGGCTCGCAGCACCCAGAGCCAGCCCAGCCCTCGGGCACGCGGGGGGTGCCCCAAACCCGCGAGGGTACCCGGCAGGAAGAAGCAGCCCCCCAAATTCCTGCCGGCCGGGGGGTTTTGCGGCTGGCTGAGCTCCCAGATGAACATCTTGACTCCCCACCTCGCTCCACGGAGGTTTTAATAAGACACCCCCACACCCCAACCCCAAAAACGGGGCTCCCGGGAGGGGAAAATGAACAGGGAAGGAAACTTTCCCCTCCTCACCTCCCGGAGGCTGAGGGGGAGTCGTGCCATTTAATTCCTTGTGTATTTGAAGGCGATTTCCCCGCTGTTTCCCCCTCTGCCCCCCCAAATCCCCCGCCGTGGGGTCTCAGGTGGCTGCTCCTCACCGAGCCCAGCGAGCCCCGGCTGCTCCCGGGGAGCCGAGAGGCTTCGCCGAGCGCCGGGAGATGGAGGGACGAGCGGAGCCTGCTCCAGAGCTCCTGCTTTTTTCCCTTTCTAATGTACTTTTTCCTCTCCGGAAAGCGCCGTCAGCTGCTGCAGGGCGCGGGGAGGGGGAGCGGCGGCTCTGCGGGGCCGAGCGGGCACAGCTCCACACAAAGGAGCTGATTCTTCCCCGGCATCGCGAGCGGCTCCAAAATCATCCCTCGGGGCTCCCGGGGCTGAGGTTACCCAGAGCCCGGCTCGGATTTGGCTGGCCCGGGGTCGGGAAGGCGCCGCGCCTTCCCCGCATCCCTTTTTGCCCCCCCCCCCCCCCCCCCCCCCCCGTGGGTTTTCGTGCTGCCAAAGCTGCGGCTGCCGCTCAAATCCCCCTCCCTGCTTTTCTGCGAGCATCCCGCCGGCATCGCCGAACGCACCGGCGGCAACAAAACCCCCTCGGCGCGGGGGGAACTTGTGCCAAATCCAGCCGTGTCCCCCTCCTGTCTCTCCTCTCCACCTCCACCGCGCTTTTAAGGTCACGGATAGATAATTTCCAAGGAACGACGCATCCCCCCGGCTTTTCCTCAGCACAAGCTGCCTGTCACTGGCTCGTGGATCATTTTTCCTCCCTCCCTCCTGTTTTTGTCACTGCAAATTGGGCGACTGCTCTTCTGCTGTCGGTTTGGGAGAGCGGCTGTGGGTCAGTCTGTGTGTGTGATGGGGATTTTTGCGGGAAAAAAGAGATAAAAGTTGTTTTGTGGTGGGTCTGGAGGAGTCTGGGGATCCGGGGGGTCTGTGGGTTCCAAAGTGATGTGGGAGGAGGTGTCAGGAAGCGCTTGGGTTTGGACACCCACGAGCCGGGTTTGGGCTCTTAAAACCACACTGGAACTTTGCTGCTTCCCTGGATCCCGAGGATCGGCTCCGTTAAGTGTCTCCCACCTCCTTCCCCAGCGGAAAATGTCGCTGCCCATGGCAGGGCTTGGAATGAGATGATCTTTAAGGTCCCTTCCACCCAAACCGTTCTGGGATTCTGTGATTCTATCCCTCAGCAGAGATGCTCTTCCCAAAAACCCCGGTTTGAGCTCTGTTTTTCCATGGAACACCTAAAAATTCAGGCTTTGGGGGTGGGTTCCCCCATCCCGAGCCCTCCCCGCGCTCTGGGCAGCAGGAGCTGCGGAGGCTGCTCCCGAAATTCGGTGTGCAGATGGCTTTGCCGTGGCTGACGGAATCCTTGGCTGGGGTTGCCGGCGCTGTGGTGGTGGGGGAGGACGTGCCCGCAGAGGTCCTTCCCCTCCCCATCCCGGCGCTTTCCTAATCAGGGATCCAACAGGATCCAGACGCGTCACCTGGGAAGATTCAGGGGGGCAGATGCCCAACACGCCAGTCCCACTGTTCATCCCTACAAGTGCATTTGCACGTCTCCAAAGCCCTTTTTTGGGGGAATTTTGCCCGGTTCTGTCGTCATCTGATTTCTGACCCGGCGCTGGTGGGCAGCTGCCCTCCCCATGCTGCATCCAGGAGGATCACCAGGATCCCAGTGCCGGCGGGAAGGAGAGCACCAGGAATCCACTGGAAGCACTTCCCATCCAGCAGAGCATCTCTGCCTCCGTGGGAAGCCTTTTGGGGTTTCCAGCCGTGGTTTCCATCCATCACCTTGTAATGAAAAGCCCTTTTATTAACCCGAGCGCAGCAGCGGGTGGATCCTTCCCGACGTGTTATCCGTCCCTCTGGGGAGCATCACTCCTTGTAATCCAGCTTTCCTCCTTTATAACAAGCTCAGTCTCTCCCCTTGGCCAAAAGAAAAGCTGCTGAGGACAAGGCTAAGTGGGTTAAGGAGCCGTCAGGATGAACAAACGAGGACGTGCGGAGGAGGAGGCGAGCGGCTGGACCGAGGGAGGACGATGGAGCCGCAGCCCCGGGGTCCCTGCCGGGTTTGGAAAAGCCCCATCTGGATTCCTGGCATGGCTGGAATCAGGGCTGGCTCATTAGGCAGCGCTCAGCTCGTCCCCTGAAATACGGCCCCCATCAACTGCTCCCCCATCAGCTGCTCGTCGGGGGTTGTTTTACGAGCTGTAAAACCTGAGCTGTGTTTGCAAACACGGGAGGGAGGGAAGACCGGCGAGGTTCGAGCTCAGCGAGGTGTTTCTCTGCTCTTTATCCGAGTGAGTGGTTTTAGCTTCTGTTCCCCATCCCCCAGCACCTCCTCCCATGGGGAAAAAAGGGGAAAATTCCAGTGTAGCTCCTTGTCTGGAGCTGTTTCTGGAGTTTCTGGGCTTTGAAGGGACCTGGCCTCAGAGATATCCCTGAGCTGCTTCTCCAAGCTAAAAAAAAAAACAAAACAGCCTGGAAAAAGCACTTTACACTTACGATTTTTATCAGCAAACTGAATTTCTCTCCCCTCTCCATTCCCAGGAACCCCCCTGAGGCTTTTCCTCACAAGGATTTTCCCAGTTTACAGTACGCCCTGGGATGGCTCCTCTTTGCAACCTGGAAAAGCTCATTTTTCACCTTTTTTTTGAGGCAAATGTGGCTTTTACCAGGGAGATGGAACCACCTGCTTGTGTCTCTTCTTTAAAGCCAAGAGGGGTTTGGTGGGAGTCGTTTTGTGGGGGATGAGAGCAAAGGAGGAGCAGCCTCTGTGCCACGTGGGACCTTTAATTCACCTGCACAACACTGATCCAGAAATCCATCCCAAACTCCCACCATCCTTCCCCACTGATGCTGTTCCCCATCAAATCTCGCTTTCAGCTTAAGGTCACCTTTCTTTTTGAGCCTTTCCCACCATTTCCATGGAAGGTGTGTTTCCATGAGGCCCCTGTGCTGCTCTCCAGGTAAATCCGGGCCAGGCAGCCCCTTCCAGAGCTGCTCCTTGCTGTGCTAATTGCCCTGCCCCAATTAGCCCAATTTTCCTCTTCCCACCAGCTGCGTTTTGGAGCCGTTCAGAGCTGCCAGTTTGAATCCAGAGCTCTGTGAAAAGCTTTAACACCAGCGAGGATTTTCCCCCTCCTCGTGCCTTTCCAGGCTAATAAGCATCTTTGGGATATGGAGATATTCTGGATTTCGTTCCTCCCTGGAAAACCTCGTGTGTTAAACTGTGGCTGGGTCTTCAGTGTTTCCAAAGCTCCCCCAGGTTTGGGGATATTTACCCCCCAAGTTCCCAAACCAGGGCCAGGGATGCTGTAGGGTTTGGATTGGGGATGTTGGTCCCTGTGGTGTGGGATGAGGGGTCATGGTTCAGATCCTGGATGTGCTCCTGGGAGCCCTGCTCTGTGTGCTCTGTGCTGGATCATGGAATGGTTTGGGTTGGAAGGGACCTCAAAGCCCATCTCATTCCACCTCCTGCCATGGGCAGGGACACCTCCCAGTATCCCAGATTGCTCCGAGCCCCGTCCAACCTGGCCTTGGACACTTCCAGGGATGGGGCAGCCACAGCTTCTCTGGGCAACCTGTGCCAGGGCCTGCCCACCCTCCAGGGAAAGATTTCCCCCCAGTAACCAACCTAAATTTCCCTTCTGTCAGTTTGAAGCCATTCCCCCTTGTCCTGGCACTCCAGGCCCTTGTAAAAAGTCTCTCTCCACCTTTCTTGTCACCTCCCTTCAGGTCCTGGGAGGCCACAATCAGGTCTCCCTGGACCCTTCTCTTCTCCAGGCTGAACAATCCCAGCTCTCCCAGCCTTTCCCCATCTCAGAGCTGCTCCATCCCTCTGATCCTCTTGGTGCCTCCTCTGGACTGGCTCCAGCAGCTCCACGTCCTCCCTGTGCTGTTCCCAGGGCTGGAGCAGCTCTGCAGGGGGGTCCCACCCGAGGGGGCAGAGGGGCAGAATCCCCCCCTGCCCTCTGCCCACGCTGGGGATC